ACAAACATTATTCTAAGAGACTAATTGCACTTGCATACAATTGTATCCTTTTCGAATCTTTACTTTTGCGCGTTCATACCATACCTATCTGTGATTTTTAAATTTTATTGGGTAAAACCTTTTTGTATATATTTTAGTTACTTAAACATAATAATTATGAAATGAATTGTACACCATTTTTTTATTATTAAACTAAAATCGTATTGTATTGTAATACATTTTTTATTTGTTTGTCGGCTTATTATGTAAGCTGTTTATTTCATTAGCTATATAATATGTAAGAGCGAATGTCCATTGTAAGTACCTAACTACTGCTGATAAACAGCCTAAATGTCGCAAATAAACATAATGGTTATGGTTGTAAAATTAATCTTAATAATGTCATGAAGAAACTCACGTGAATTAAGTGGAAAAAACTCAGCTCGAGTAGCGTGCGCGTCTCTGCAACGTCACCGCCACGTAAACGCTGCGCATGTATAAAAGTGTTGTTGTTTGTAACTTTAAACTAGTAGAGCTTTTCTCAGTTAAATCATGTGAGTAAGGCGTTATTTTCAATTCATTAAGGGCTGATTTTCAATTGTCAGATAAATGTTATCGGAAAAATAAAATTATTGCTGTCTCTGTCTTATACAAATATTCTGATGCGAAAGCATCATAATTATTCCTCAGGTAACTTTTATCTAACCATTGAAAAATCAGCCCTTAGTGAGTCTCACTATACCTAGTTACTATTTCAAAAATAGTAAGACGTTTTTAACTGCCTGAAATATTATTATGTAGTCAGAAATTTGTAGTTATTTGAGAATTTTAATACTCTCAATCAATCAATCAATGATTGATATATCAATCAATCAATGATTGATTTATCAATCAATCAATTATTGATATATCAATCAATCAATGATTGATTTGCATTTCTGTTTGTAAGTTTGTTTTCTTTAGTCTAGGTCTAAACCGTTGAGCAAGTTTTTGTATTTCAAATTAAGGTAGGTAAGAATAAGATTGAAAATACAAAACTAGAACTAGAATAAAAACTATCCTATGTCCTTTCTCGAGTTCCAAACTATGTCTGTACCAAATTTCACAGAAATCCGCTCAGTAGTTTAGGCGTGAAGAAAAGAAAGACAGACAGACAGACAGACAGACAGAGTTACTTTCGCATTTATAATATTAGTTAGGATTATATTAACACAGATATGTTATACCATCACAAAACGCACGAAAAATGTGTTCCGCGCCAAGCGTGAGCACACTCACATACCTTTCATTAATTGTACATGTTACTACAAGTTAAAATTGTAGATAAAGGATAGTATGATAAATCCAACAAGAAAAAACGAATTAGCTATTGTTATCAATTACGTACTCAACGTAAACAAACATTATTCTAAGAGAGACTAATTGCACTTGCATACAATTGTATCCTTTTCGAGTCTTTACTTTTGCGCGTTCATACCATACCTATCTGTTAATTTATAATATTATTGGGTAAAACCTTTTTGTTAATATTTTAGTTACTTAAACAAAATAATTATGAAATGAATTGTACACCATTTTTTTATTATTATTAAAATAAATGTTATCGTATTGTAATAATTTTTTTATATGTTTGTCGGCTTATTATGTAAGCTGTTTATTTCATTAGCTATAACATATAAGAGCGAATGGCTTTTGTAAGTACCTAACTACTGCTGATAAAAGGCCTAAATGTCGCTAATAAACATAATGTATATGATTGTAAAATTAATCTGAATATAGTCATTAAGAAACTCACGTGAATTAAGTGAAAAAACTCAGCTCGAGTAGCGTGCGCGTCTCTGCAACTTCGCCGCGACGTGATCGCTACTCATGTATAAAAGTGTTGTTGTTTGTAACTTAAAACTAGTAGAGCTTTTCTCAAGACTCACTAAAAGCTGATTTTTCAATGGTTAGATAAAAGTTATCTGCGGAATAATTATGATGCTGTCGCGTCAGAATGTTTGTATAAGACAGAGACAGCAACAATTTATTCCTCCGATATCAATTATCTGGCTATTGAAAACCAGCCCTTAATAAATTGAAAATAACGCCTTACTCACACTATTTAACTGAGGAAAGCTTTACTATATAGTTTCAAGTTAAGAACAACAAGACTGTTATACATGAGCAGCGTTTACGTCTCGGCGACGTTAAACGCTTTACGTCAAAAATAGTAAGACATACTAAACTGTAAACTGTCAGAAATATTATTATGTACTAAAACATTTGTAGTTATTTGAGAATTTTAATACTCTCAATCAATCAATGATTGATTTATCAATCAATCAATCAATGATTGATTTATCAATCAATCAATTATTGATATATCAATCAATCAATGATTGATTTGCATTCCTATTTGTAAGTTTGTTGGCTTACAAAACGAGGTATTTCTTTAGTCTAGGTCTAAACAAGTTTTTGTATTTCAAATTGAGGTAGGTAAGAATAAGATTGAAAATACAAAACTAGACTCAATGATTTAAACTAAGACTGAAGAAAAATCTTATTTTGTAATAAGAGGGTGTGAGTTTAAAATGTGTAAGTTTAAAACTATGTGTCAATATATTATATCATTGTATTTTTTTATTTTATTAGAATAAGTGCTGATTTTTCAATAGTCAGATAAATGGTATCTGAGGAATAAAATTGTTGCTGTCACTGTCTTATACAAACATTCGAACGCGACAGCATCATAATTATTCCGCAGGTCACTTTTATCTAACCATTGAAAAACTAGCCCTAAGTATTGTTTGATCTATTGAGGTAACAGAACTTGTTTATCTTTTAAATTTACTTTAATGTATATTCTTATCACTGCTCTGTATATTTTAAATGAATAAAAAACTAATTTATAAATGTTTTTTTTTTATTTACCTATCCTGTTTAAGATATAGACAAGACTGGCAGCAAGAAAAACATTTTTTTTATGTGAAATGTCGGCAAACGATCAGACAGATTACCTGATGGTAAGCAATCGGCGCCGCCCATGGACACACGCAACTCCAAAGGAGTTACGAGTGCCTTGCCGACCTTATAGGGATAAGGGCTTCGGATATTTAAGGATTGAGAAGGGATTGGGCGTCCGGTAACCTCACTCACATGGCGAAACACAACGCTGTGGTTGTTTCACGCTGGTTTTCTGTGAGGCCGTGGTATCACTTCGATCGAGCCGACCCATTCGTGCCAAAGCATGGCTCTCCCACACTTAAAAAAAAGATAACCCTCAAGTGACAGTATTTTCTTACCTTTAAGGTCTGATTTTTCAATAGTCAGATAAATGTTATCTGAGGAATAAAATTGTTGCTGTCACAGTCTTATACAAACATTGTGACGCGACAGCTTCATAATTATTCCCGTGGTAACTTTTATCTAACCACTGAAAAATATAAATTTCTGTAAGTAAAATCGTTGAGATACCTGCTGTACATCGTGTCACGGGTTCGAATCCCGGCCGAAAGAATTCTTTGTGTGATAAACATGACACTGGCCTGGAGCTGGAGAGTGAACGAGGTAGTTTTTAATCAGTTACTGACTTATTTCAAAACAAGGTTATTTTTCGGCAAACGAGCAGACGGATTACCTGATGGTATGCAATCAGCGCCGCCCATGGACAACCGCAACGGAGGAGTTACGAGTGCGTTGCCGACCTTTTAGGGATTAGGGATTGAGGAGGGATGGTGGAGGAGAAGGATTGGGCCTCCGGTAACCTCTTCTTTACTCTAGGTCTAAATCGTTGACCAAGTTTTTGTATTTCCAATTGAAAGTATGTGATAATAAGATTCAAAATACAAAACTAGACTCAAAGATAAATCGTTTTGTAATAAGGGCGTAAGAGTCTGAGACCTTTTCTCATCCAGGGCGAGAGAACTGATTTGAAAATTTTCTCCTCTCACAAAAAAGAATGACTAAGTAATTTATACATTTAAAAAGTAATGCCTTTTTACTGGTTATTTATGTTCTTTGTTGTAATGAAAATATCTATACCTACTTATATTATAAAGAGGTAAAATTGTGTAAGTTTGTATGTAGGGGGTAATCTTTGGAACCGCTGGTCGGATTGCCAGAATTCTTTCACTGATAGATAGCTACAATGTTCCTGAGTGCTATAGGCTATAAAACATAACGCTACGATCAAATGGAGCCGAGCAGCGGGTGAAACCGTGCGAGAGTAACTAGTAACTTATAAACGCCAAAAATATCTTAATTGTAAATCCTTGAGGTCTGTGATAGTACATAGGTCTCGCTATTATTATAAGCGCTGTTCAAAACTCGAAAACAAAATCAATGTTCAAACAAGCATTTCTTACCTCCGCCATCTTGGTCGGCAAACGAGCAGACGGAACTCCTGTTGGTACGCAGTCAGCGCCGCCCATGAACACAGAGAAGTTGCAGAAGTATATTATTACTAGCTTTTGCCCGCGACTCCGTTCGCGTGGAATAGTAACTTCCTGCAGATTTTTGGTATAAAAACTATCCTACGTCCTTTCTCGAGTTCTAACCCATATCTGTACCAAATTTCACAGAAAACGGTTCAGTAGTTTAGGCGTGAAAAAAAGACCGACAGTGTTGCTTTCGCATTTATATTATTAGTTTGGATTTGGATTAAATGTTGTCAGCGTTTAGGATATCTATTTTGGGTTCCAGATTTGAGATCACTTTATTGTAGGTATAAATGAGAATTTCGAAAGCCTGTCCCAGAAATTGAACACACGGATACAATCGCAATGAATGATGTCCAGTAACCTGGCTCGCAAGAGAAGTAACGGGATAAGGCTTAGTCAGTAAGACTCTGACACTCTCTCTTGCCATACAAAGGGCAGGAGAAGTCATCTGACGATTCTCTACCCCAAAGAACAACACACAGCCATTTTTGAAAACCAAAAAAAGTATTAAGAAATTGCTCGAGCGAAGATTACATTCTTCCTTCTTACTTACTTTTTCTTGATACTTACAATGAATTGAACAACGATACAATCGAAACTTTAAAAATCTCTTACAAGGAAGGATTTGCAGGTGAAGAATTCGTTGCGGTCGGCGAGTAAGGGTAGCGCACCGCCCGACCAGAACCAGTCCCGAGCGTACGGCGCGTAGCGTTCCGCGCGCGCCTCAAAGAGCCAGGCGCTGCTGTTCAGGGCTTATAGGGTTGATGTTCAGCCGGGGTTGCGGGTTAAGCGCAATGAGGCACCGCGACCTCGACCCAGAGCAGGAGAAGGAACGAGGGGATTTTTAGTCAGTAAGAGTCTGACACTCTCTCTCGCCTTACCCTTGGCGGGAGAAGTCATTGGATGATTTTCCCCTGACAAAAAAAAAAGGTGAAGAATTCGTGAGAGATGAAGGAGGAAGGAAGGATTGATGTCATCAATAAGTACTAGTAGGTACCAAGTAGAACTAGCTATCATTAAAAGAATAGGCAAAGCTAGACGTCTCGTCAGCCGGAGTTGTAGGGCTAGCGCAATAAGGCTCCGCGACCTCGGCCTAAAGCAGAACTGAAATGTTTTTCGTCAATAAGAGTTTGACAGTCCTTCTCGCCTCAATCTGCGCAAGATGTCATTTGATAATGACGTCCTCAGAAAATACGTCTTAAGACTGGCTTTATTTTTTGTGAAGGAAAATCATCAAATGACTTCTCCCGCCCAGGGTCGGGCTGACTAAAAACCCCCATGTTCCTTCTCCTGCTCTGGGCCGAGGTCGCCGTGCCTCATTGCGCTTACCCCGCAACCCCGGGTCTTAAGACTGGCTGGCCAAAAACGATAATGATACAACAAAAAATACACATTTTAAGTACACCAATTTACTCAAAATAAAACAGCAGTCATACTTTTAGATACAAAATTTCGACAAGACAAATTTATCTAAGCAAAACAAAATTCTAATAATAATAATAAAATCACAAAACCTGACAACGGATCTACTTGAGGACAAATTTCGTGTTAACGTGTACGGAATAAAAAAAAATACAAAGATCACGTATCACCTGTTGTACACCTATTACCAATTGGCTTGACATAGACGCTATTGACACATTTCTGAAGATCAACGCTCTGATTGGCTGGGTCCAATTTGAGTTACCAATCAGGGAGCTAAAGGCTTCAAACGCAATACTCGCTGGTAAACGGATGCCACAGCCTAATTATACCTAGCCTAGAATATGTATATACGACCATGTATGAAAATTTTTATATAGTGCCATTGTGTGTTTAAGAATGTGTATCTTCTCAAAAACATTTTGTGACACAATGGCAACTCGGTGTGTCGTAACTAGCCAAAAATTAAAAAAAAACGTTAAAGTCATCCACTGAAGACTACCTTTGTGTAACCTTAATCCTGCCCATGTACCTTTCATCAGAAAAATTCTCGTAAACCAATTCTGGAGTGGCCGGCCTTTGCTGTTGGGCTTTCTTCAAACTAGCCAAAAGATTTTCTTTGTACTTTTCATAGAATAACTTATCTTTTTTCGTGTTCTTCGATATGGCCGCTAATGTAGTATTGACCCAAGCTTCGTAATATGGTTTTGTTTGTTCGTCTATAGATGCCGGGGCCCATCTAGCCACCTCCGTCGGCGGTGATACAACCTCTTTGGAACAATCAGGTGACAGAGCAATCTTGAGCGACTTTTTCTCTTTCTTTCGCTCAACTTTCTTTCTTGCAGGAGCTGGTTTCGCTTTAATACTAGTCTGGCTAATGTTGCGTTTCGTTTTAAACTTCAACGAACTCGTGTCCGTGCATTTTGTTACTTTCAACTTCTTCATAGCATCAGTCGGGATGCTTATTTCTAGTGGTGTCGGGTTTCTTACCTGATCAACAAACGTGACAGCCTTGAATACTCTGACTTGTCCATTTTTGGACATGATAGTCTTGATCATTGGTTTTCGATGGTGTTTGTTGGAGCTTTGAGAATTTTTTGGACCGTTCTTGTCTTGTTTTGTCATGTTACGTTCTGCCTTTTTCTCTGTAATCGTGTCATTTTTAGTTGATATGTTATCTTCAGTTGATTGGATAAGCTTGTCCCTTGTCTGTGGTGTTTCTTCTGTTATTGGTTCAGTGAAGTGTTCTGAAAATTCGGTACATTATAAGTTTATATTCTTATAATCATCTTTTAATATGTATAATCATATTTTTTCTTGATTTATTTATAAAAAATATGATTTGAAAAATATGCTTGTCGCTAAGCTAGTTTCAATATTGGAGTACTCAATCTAAAACTGTGTCTAATAATTGGAAATTAATTTACTCCAATACGGGACAAGCTAATTATATCTACAATTATTATCAGGCTATTACGAGTGAGAACCAAATTTATTTTTAAAAAATTTGGTAGGATTTTCTTCTGCGTCCTGGGTGTTTACAACAATATTACATGCACATCACACTTCAACACGCACATTAATGAGGAGAAGGAGGAGAAGTGGGGGAGGACGAAAAGGTTAATTTAGACATAGATACAAACAACAAATTCTTATAATTAGAAACTTTAAGTCCAGGTTTCCTCACTATGTTTGCTTCACCGTATGCCAAATCACTTAGAAAATGTCACATTAGTACTTGGTAGGTTGCGAACCTTCACACGCAGGTATGAGAAACTTTTTACACCATTTATTTAGCTACACATGCATAGGTTGAAAACGTACAAAAATAAACATTACACAATAAATAAACTATATATAGTGTAGCAAGGGGTCCATCTCAGTATATGGTTAGTGGTTTTCAGATGGCTCCTGACTGTTAGGGTAACAAACACATCGAGAAGCGGGAACCATTTAGGTGTAGGAGAGCCAAGCTTCGGCACGAATGAGTCGGCTCGACCGGAGTGATACCACGGCCTCACAGAATACCGGCGTGAAACAACCCACAGCGTTGTGTTTCGCCGTGTGAATGAGGTTACCGGAGGCCCAATCCCTCCCCTTCCCCTATCCCTTCCCAATCCTTATATCCGCAACCCCTATTTATTTGAAAAGGCCGGCAACGCACTCGTAACTCCTTTGGTGTTGCGGGTGTCCATGGGTGGCGCCGATTGCTTACCATCAGCTAATGCGTCTGCTCGTTTGCCGACTTATCCCATAAAAAAACCATAACGTCAGGGTCACTGCGACTATTCAACATTGATAAATAATAATGTAACAAAATAGGTACCAGAGTTGGCGCTAACAATATTGGCAGTTCCTTTAGTATCCTCTTTTTTCGTAACTGGCTCTTGTCTATCCGTTTTTTGTGTAGAGCTCTTGAGTTTAAGAGTATATCTGTCTCGGATACGTTTCCTTAATTCCAAATTACTCACTTTCCCTTGACCATCGTTGCTTTTTTTATTACCTAACTCTTTCTCAGTGGCATCAGTTATACTTTTCAATTTCTTCATCACTATATTAATCTTCATTTTTTCTGGTATCTGATTGAATTTCGTCAATTGATCCGAATCACCACCTTCTGGATGCACTCTTGATGTGATCTTTGTATCTGCTTGTGTATTATCATATCCTCTTTTGATAATCTTCTCTGGTGATTTACGTAAATCACCACGATCTTTGATCTTGTCGTTTTTTTTCTCTATCACCACGCTTTCGTTTCTACGCTTTTTTTCCATGGCTTCGATATTAAAGTTTTTGCTTTATGACACTGGGAATTTACGGATGTTTAATTTTTGTATTACATTTGGTGTATTGACAGTTTGTATGCCAACTGGTTTTGGATTCGTTTTCTTTTATGTTTTTGTTAGTCTAATGTCGTTAGGCTGAATGCAGGTAGAGGAAAGAGGTTTTGTGGTGAATCAAAATTTACCTGTATGTACCTGTGTAATTGTAATCAATTATAGGATCACGGATTAGATCAACGTGTAGGAAGTTATGCCTAACCTTAATAAAATTATACTGATAAAATCATAATCAAGAATATAAAGCTAGGGTCCTAGTCTCTTTATAATTCAGTGAGAAATGTATGAGAAAAGTTATTTGAACAGTTATAACAATGAGCCGACTCAACCTGAGTAATATACCTTAATATGCTTTAAAGAAAACCGGCCTGAAACAATTACAGCGTTGTGTTTCCCTATTTGAGTAAGGTTACCTGAGGTCAAATCCGCACCCTTCGGGTACGCTGTTATAGCAGCAGTAAGTCCTCTCTTTGAGGAGTGCGCCATGGCGTCCATGGCGTCCTCACTTTCCGCCTGACGCAAGTCCTTAACAGGCAGGGCAGCTTCGGTAGGTTCCTGTTCCAGATCCGGCAAGAGGAAACGCCTGAGTATCGTCATTGTGAGCACCACTTAGTGGCGGTGTGCTTTGCTTGCGCTGAGCACCGCCATGTCCTCAGGAAAGTAATTAGCACCGGTGAGCTCTTGCTCCCGGCTTTTGTCGAGGCCCTGGTGCGGAGCGACAGGAACTGGAAATCCATCTCCTCTTACTATGGAGCAGTTATGCTCGCAAAGAAGGAGGCGGACCGTGTGAGGAAGTTTTCCTTCACCTCACGCCCCAGCCACCGCAACCACCGTAGGCGATACTCCGGGCGGCGGGGATAGAGAGACGATCTCCGGCGGGTAATCCACAGGCTAGTTTGCCGGCGCATGATAAAAAAAACTACCTATATATAGGTATAATACCAACGATTTAGGTAATAAACTACAAAATAATATTCACTTAAAAAAAATGTAAAAGAAATTACTTAGTAAAAAAAAATGTTGTACTGTGACTCCGGCTCAGAGCAGGAGAAAGACAGGGTTGGTTCTTAGTCAGTAAGAGTCTGAATACCCCTCTAAAAGAAATAAATTGATGATGATGATTCCCCTTCCAAAAAGAAGGAATTGCAATATTCAGAAACGGCCCTAAAGTTTTCAACCAAAACCAACGAGATCGATAATCTTTTACACAGCAATCAGAGACAAGCAGTTACCTGTCAAAAAAATAAAAACAAACGTCAAAACTCATACCATATTTACAAAGCCTACATACTTAATACAATCGGTAAAAAAGCAAAAAAAAAAACACAAAATCAGTGAAATAAAAATCAAAATATTTTAGGTAATGAAATAGGAAACAAATTTTAGAATCGCCGCAATGGATAAACCTAAATCGACAGTCATGAAGTCAAAATCTTCAAGCAGTGCAATAACCACAAAGTCAGAACCACGGAAACGCAAGAAAAGTCGAAGTAACGCTGAATTTCGCCCTTCAATATTGAAGAAAAGGGGAGTTTATGTTGAGAAGAAAACTACTAAGATAGCTATTAATGATAGAGATTTAAGTCCTATTGGTAAGTATAAAACACTATCAGCTAAAGTGACAGTGTATACTTTTCTTTCCGAATAAGAGGCAAACGAGCAGGATTACCTGATGATAAGCAATTGGCGCCGCCCATGGATACCCGTAACACCAAAGGAGTTACGAGCGCGTTACCGGCCTTTTGGGGATAAGGGTTTCGGATGTAAGGATTGGGAAGGGATGGGGGAGATGTTGGGCCTCCGGTAACATCACTCACACGACGAAACAACACTGGTTGTTTCACAAAGGATTTTTGTGTGAGGCCGTGGTATCACTCCGGTCGAGCCGACCTATTCGTGTCGAAGCTTGGCTCTTTCACACTTAAAATGGCCATACGAGCACTACATAACAAGATCTCCTCGGTTTTAAGCTCTACACGCGCGGACGACTGATACACTACTTGGTGACAACTCGCTGCTGCTCGAATGCTTGACTTGTGTTGACTGGGCTAATTTTGAGACCTGATGCACACCAACACACTTAAGACCAATGAAACAGTAAATTTATTTTTGCAAATAGGCATAGTACGTTTATATGCCAAAATTGTATATAAAAAACTAGATGAAACATTTCCTATCTGACTACTTTGAGAAAAAATGCCGAAACAAACTCAGAGGTAGTTAGTAGAACAATGAATATATGCAGAAATTTATATTTAAGTCCAGACAGTGTAAAAATATAATTCTAATGTGTGTGTAACATATCATCTATATATACTTTTACTATTATTTCCAGGTCAACTATCCAATCCAAGACCCCCGTCGAGCCCACGTCCAATCCCACGACCAGGTAAAAAAAGATTCGTAGCATCCGTCCTCCAAATCCTCTCCCAATCCACCACTGGAACCCAATACCCAGACCAAGAAAACTCTGAAAAATTAAAGAAGCAAGAAAGACCGAAATTCAGTCTTAAAAAGAAAAAAGAAGAAGTTGAAACATTTACAGAAGATCTTAGCACATCGACGAGTTCCAAAAGAAAGCGTAGATATCGTTCAAAAATACTGAATTGCGGACACACAGACTCAGATTTCGAAAAACTCGTAGTCTTGCAATCAACAAAAGAAATTACTCACACACCTTCAAATGCATCTGATAAAAGCAATTGGTTTAGAAACACTAGCAGCTTCTACAAGGAACCAGAAACCGTCAAATGGACTGATATCTTGCTAACAACACCTAAAAAAATCAAAGATGCCCCAGCGACTAAAGAAAATAAAGATGAAGAAAATAAAGAAACGCCTCCAAAACTTACAGAAACAAAAGTCAAATCAATCGATAGAGATTTTTCTACTTTAATAGCAGAAGGACCTAAAAAAGTCGACAAGAAATTGTACAAATTCTTCTACGATCTTCTTGAAACAACTTTCAGTGTTTATAATGTAAACACGGAATTCAATAATATAATACCTCCATCTACATTTTCGTCAAAAGTTAATTTCGAAATAGATGAAAATGTAGTTAGGAAATTGGCGATAGAGAAAACGAAAGCTTCCGCTGGTGAAGACAAAGAAACACCATCTAAATTTCACTACATCAAGCCAGATGTAAAGGACCAGTGGGATGACAAGCGGTTACTTGAACATTTTCAACCAAAAGCTGTTAAACTTGCAACACCACTGTCTCCACCTAAATCAATAAAAAGGAGACAGAAGGTAAAACCGAACCGACCAATAGAATACAAGAAGAAATCGTTACCGATGTCAGCAAGTTTGTCCATTCCTAACAACAAAATATCAGTAAAAAAAGAAAGAAAGAAAACATTCATAAACCTTTTGAAGAAACAGCTCAAAATGGAAGACGAAGACTTTGACGAACCACAAAATTTTTACCAAGCTTTAAAAGTTATTGCACGAAATAAACGCAGATGTCAAAGGTCGATACATTTTGTCGAATCAAAGAAACCCAGCGAAGGAGATGTTCACGTCTGCCAGTTTAAAAGACGAAAATTAATCTCATCTGGCTATAAATCTAGCAAAAAGTCCAAAAATATACCGGAAAGTGATTTTTTTAAATCAATGAAATCATTCTCCCGTAATTCAGATTATTCCACAAGAGTAAAAAAGCGAAACAATATGTGTGTTATTGACACAACAGCGGATATTCCTTCGGTGCAATCTTTGGAAGTATTTGGTTTTGATTATGAACCTGTCAGTAAAAAGCCTGCTATTAAAAATTCGACCTCATTTCCTCCTTCAACTTCAACTAGTATCCAAGAATATAACATCAATGCCCCGCTGCTAATGAAATTCAGTAATAGTACCACAAGTTCTATCATAGAAAGTTCTCAAATTAGAGCACAACACGGACTTAGGGCCCTGAGTGAATTATTGCAGAATAAGTCTTTCTAAAATATTTATAAAAAAAAAATGTAGGTAATACTTAAATAAATAATTTGGAAAGTGTTTTATTGTAGTTTTTTTCATGCTCTACCATGAACAGATGTACCTACATTCACACACACATGGATACTATTTTAATACCTATTTGTGATATTCAACCAATTCAAGTGTGGGGAGCCATTTCAGCACGAATGGTTCGGCTCGACCGGATTGGTACCACGGCCTCACAGAAAACCGGCGTGAAACAACCACAGCGTTGCGTTTCACCGTGTGAGTAAGCTTACCGGAGGCCCAATCCGTAAATCTCCAAATCCCTAATCCCTAAAAGGTCGGCAACGCACTCGTAACTCCTCCGATGCGGGTGTCCATGCGGCGTTGATTGCTTACGATCAGGTAATTCGCCTGCTTGTTTGCCGACATATAACATAAAAAAATCCTTTCCTACCGAAGCTGCCGCGCCCGGTAAGCACCTGCATCAGGCGGAAGGTAAGGACCCCATGTCGTCTCTCAAGCCACTCCTCAAAGTGAGGTCTTACCGCTTCTATAACAGCGTGCCCACCCTCGTCAGCGACGGACGTTACTTCCACTCTGATTTAGGTACCCCTGGAGATCTGCTCAAAGTCAAAACTTTTATTTCAATTAGACCCATACAGGCACTTTTGAACGTCAAATACAAAGTGTCAGTCTGTCGGTCAGTCCTCTTAGTGAAGCTATTCGCTCGTTCCAAAGTGTAGATTCCGATGGAGAAGAACGAGCAAGAAACTCCATGGTTACTCTTTTAAAATCAGTGTCACATAAACATTCATTGATACATTATTTAGTTGGTTTGAATATGTGAGAACAGTGTAACGCGTGTATATAGAGAAACATAAAAAGAACACCCCGGTTTATGGTATTATCTAAAACAATTCTTTATAGGTATGAATCTTTTAAGTAAGCAAACAAAACACACACTTATCATCATAATATTATTGCATCAAACAGCATGTTGAACAAGATGAATAAAATTAAAAAAATATTATGTTTATTTTGGCATACTTATATTAAGTTTTAGGCATTTTATTGTACTATAATATTATTATTTGACTTCAGCCGGGGCTGATAGTCCAAGCGTACCTAATATGGTATCGCTATCGTGGCCTCAGCCTGAAACAGGATAATGAACGGGGTAGTTTTTAGTCAGTAAGAGTCTGACAACAATTTGGAATTTCATAAAAAAATCATAAAAGAGTATGTATTATCTTTGGCATTTGGTTAAAAGTAAGTATTGAATTTGACTATAGTTGACTAGTTGGAGACTATCGTATTCTAAGACTATGCCCCTAATTTCCTAGTTTAATAGGTCTCAAATAAATTATTAAGACGTTTCAATACAATACAATATTGAAAAATATCTACTTGTATCTACTTTTATTCATCGATCTGTCGATACACTTCGATGTTTTTTTAGTTAATTTTTAAGAAATAAGTACCTTTATAGGTAAGCTGTTAGATGCAAAAATACTGTGACGTCATTATTTGGAGTTTCATACAAATTTCATAGAAAAATATAGTTTTTGCCTTTTGCCATTTGGATAAAAGTATTGAATTTGACTATAGTTGGTGACTATCTATTATTTGTCTAGGGAAACTAAGCCAATAATTTTGGAATATAGTCATTGGAAATAAAACAACAATAAATATTATTGAAATTTTATTAATGTCTTCAGTTCTTGGTGCAATCTACAGCTGCAGTGATTCTTTAAATATTTCAGCTAAGTGATTTTAAACTCTATCATAATGATAACATAAAAGAATTTTTAAACAAAACAGTCATATTTAAATACTCATGTTCAAAAACGGTTACATATTTGAAATAACGCGACAGTAAACAGTGGTCGGGCGTGGTGGCCCGGAGGGCAAGGCTCGTCTTGTCGTCCGACCAGCAGCAGGCCTCAAGGCTACAGGCTCAGAGCGCGCCTCATAGTGGATTCCGGCGGTCGGAGTGACGGGGCCCGCCTATCTGGCGGGCCAATACCCGTAGGGGGTTTGCGACGAATGACGAATGCATCGGCCTTACCCGCCTCACCGACACGTGAGTAAATGGAGGAACTCCGGGTTGGTTTTTAGTTAGTAAGAGTCCGATAGTACCCTTCGCCCTTCCTCGAGGGCGGTGTCTCCGTGAGGATTTTCCAATCCGGCACCAAAAAAAAGAGGTCCTTGACCTTTTTTTCTCCCTCTTCTCAAGTATGAGGATATCTGAGTGTTCAAAACTTTGCAAGTACCAATATGACTTTGTCCGAGTTGTACCTATTTACTCTCTAAGTCCATTTAGACACCACAGACAAACGGTGATCGAAAACATTGTAAGAAAACAGAACAGACTTTTGCAAACACATAAATGTGATTCATATCATCAACAGCCTATAAATCCCCATTGCTGAGCAAAGGCTCGGCACTCGGTTCGGCTTCTCACACGGAAAAGGTTTGAGCATTCACCACCTCGCTTGTTCAAGGCAGGTTAGTGATTTCAAACTTATAATAAGAAATTATAAGTCCAGGATCACGATTTTCATCTTCACATATAACTCGGAGAAGTCACATTGGTACTTGGCAAGTTTTGAACAATCTCATGCATGAGAAGCGGGTTCAGCCGGGGTTGCAGGGTAAGCGCAATGAGGCACCGTGACCTCGGCCCAGAACAGAGAAGGAACGGGGAGAGTTAGTCAGTAAGAGTCTGACATTCTCTTTCGCCTTACCCTGGGCGGGAGAAGTCATTGGATGATTTTCCCCTGACAAAAAAAAATGCATGAGAAGCGGGCGCCTGAACCTCCGGACAACCACGATGATTTCACATAAATATGATTACCGTAAACATGTTGTATTATCAAATTACGCGATAACGAGCAGACGGATTACCTGATGGTAAGTGATCAGCGCCGCCAAAGGACACCTGCAACACCAGAGGCGTCACAGGTGCATTGCCAGCCTTTTATACGGAGTAAGCACGTTTCTTGAAGGTTTCAAGGTCGTACAGGTTCCGAAATACCGCCGTCGAAAGATCATTCCAGTTTTGCTGTGCGAGGCAGAAAGTTTCGTAAAATTTTTATAAGTAGTTGGAATGAAAGAATTTAGGAACTAGTTAAAAAAGAAACTGTTTTTTTGACGAATATGTACGCTAATGAACATGAGTATTTTTCTTATTCTTAAGAATACTATAAACTATCAAAAAAATAACACAAAAATGTATCTCTTTTAAAGCCGATCGTAATACATGTTTTTTTAAAGTACAAAAATAATCAACTACTGTAATTTGAACCTTAAAACTATGGTGCTAAATGTCCCCTTTATCAATGTCCCATTTCACTACATAATACAGTAATATTTCGTAGTTTATTTATCAAGCGATTTTGAACTCTATTATGTAAAATAATTTACTTTTGAATATTATGCAATGAATGCTACCCTTACGTCAAGGAAATAAGATTCAAAATTGCTTTACAATTTACATTTCTAGTTTGGCTCTTTATCAAAAATACTTATTTTTAACTGAAATTTGGCTCAAAAAGATTTCCGGTAAAGAATTGGCGCGAATGTTTGATGAGAAACTGTTCGTCAATAATCATAATTAAAACACACTGCATTATGAGACAAACCTTCTAAATTAATTTCAATAGACGGCTGAATCTTAATCCTTTCGAGAAACGCTCGTCTCGTTTCAAATCACACCGGGACTCTTATTCATGAGCAATGTGCAATTTATTAACAAATATTCAATTAACATAATCAATGTTTCAAAATAAACATATTGTCTAGTCCTAATTAAGTAGTATTTCACAGTTTTCAAGTTTGATCACCGAACATATCCATTAGCTAATAATAACAATAAGAAAGCTTCACATAAATATAGGAACTGGGTAGGTACAAAGCTTTAGTTATTTATATATCACAATAATATTAACAACATAATATTTTAATCTTCGAGGGTACAGACAGAAGTTTGCTTTTTAAACAATCAAATTGTCTTTTGTTTACCTAATAACACATTACTCTTTCAGCAGCAACAAAGCATGGCTCTGCAGTTAAATGGAAGCTACGCTTTTCTACTCAATAGATGGCGCTAGTATAGATCTATCGTCTATTCGTCCAATAGGGAATAAGCTAGTGTTACGCCATTCACATTATCAGCCTATAAGTGCCCACTACTGAGCAAAGGCCTCTTCTCACATGGAGAAGGTTTAAGCATTAATCACCACGCTTGCTCAAGGCAGATTGGCGATTTCAAACTTATAGTTAGAAATCATAGGTCCAGGTTTCCTCACAATGTTTTCCTTTTACCGTATATTTTTGACAGCTTCAGATCAGCGCCATCTATTGAGCAAATTACGGTAGCCTCCAATTATTAATCTAGTTAGTTACAACATATAGGTTATATAAAACTTTTGCGACTAAAAATATTTGTACATTTTTTTCAAATCACAGCAAACTTAATAAGTAATAATAATTAAAACTAACAATTTTGATTCCTATTCCCAATGGCATAAGGGTAGCATTCGCTTTATATGGCATAGGAAATAGAGTTGAAAATTGTAAATTGGGTACTTTCAAACTAGTCCAACCAATTTTTGAATTTCGAACGTTCAAAATCTTCATTTTTCTAGACTATGATTTTCAGAATCAACTAGCATACTTACATATTTCCTAAATATTGGCTAGAAAAAATCGAAAATTTCAATATATCACAAAATAATTAGGTAAGAAAAGTGTTTTGATTTAAACAATTTACGAGTGACAGAAGAAAGTATCCAATTCGTACACAATAGTTTACATGTAAACCAAAAAAAAAAATTGCCATTTTTTTCTTCAAAGAGCTAAGCATCATCAGCATAACATCAGCGCACTCATATTTTCCTGACCCTTCACCAAGCAACGTGGGATCGTCACAACCAATCATCTAACTACCATTGGAAAGACAGCAAATATTTTTAACACCCATCTGTCAAATTATTTCAAAATATTAGACAAGTATTTTTTTATGGTCGGCAAACGAGTATACGGATTACCGGTAAGCAATCATTTCCGTCCATGGACACTCGTTACTGCAGTTGCGTTGCCGATCTTTTGTGGGTTGTGAGGGATTTAGGGATTTGAGGATTGAGGATGAGAAGGGGAAGAAGAATTGGGACTCCGATAACCTCACTCACAAGGCGAAACAACGCTGTGGCTGTTTCGCGTCCTTTTTATGAGAGTTAAAGAAAAATAATAAAATACAAGTGTAGGTCCGGCTCGACCGAAGTGATACCACGGCATCACAGAAAACCGGCGTGTAAGGACATTTACGTTGTGTTTCGCTGTGTGAGTGAGGTTATTAGAGTCCCAATTCTTCTTGCCTTCCTCAATCCTTAAATCTCCAAAACTCTAATCCCAAAAGGCCAGTAACGCACTCGTAACTTCTTTCTGGTATTGCGTCGTTCATAGATACCCGTCCATGGGCAACGCTTGTTGCTCTTCATCAGGCCATCTGCCTGCTCGTTTACCCACAAAAAAACATTTGATATAACATATCGATTTAAAACCGTGACGTCATTTGCTACTTTTGATTCTATATAAATAACATAGCTCGTCCCACTTCCAAACTTTAATTAGTTTCATACAAGTATTGCTTTATTATACACAAAAATTAAAAATACTTGTCTAATATTCTGCCCCCATTTAATATACTGACGGACGAAATAGGTTATTTACTTTCATAATCTGTGGTCATCCCTATTCTTCCCCTGTCAGACTAATAACATTACAACCTCCTTTCTTTGTCATATAACTCCTTATACAATGTACCCTCTTTTAATTTCGAAAACAAATTATTTTTAATCACATCATCACCAAGATGTCGACTGCCTTTTATCTAGAAGGAGATTCATCAAATGGCTTTTCCCGTCCTGAATGAGGCGAAAGGGAGTGTCAGACTTTTGGAGACGATTAAATCACCCCGTCCCATCTCCTGTTCCGAACTAAATTGCAGCATATCATTACGATTGTGGCAAGCACGATCGGACAAAATAATCAACGCAAAAAAAAAACAAATCCTCATTTAAAAAATGGCATTGTTTTATGTAAGGCTAACTACCTCCCGTGTCGTGGTGGCCCGGAGGTTAAGGAGCCTGCTTCTCATGCATGAGGAGTTCGAAACCTGGTAAGTACCAATATGACTTTTTCCGAGTCATATGTATTTTCTATGATTATTTAGACACCTCTGACATACGATGAAGGTAAACATCGTAAGGAAATCTGGACTTATAATTTCTAAATATAAGTTTGAAATCGCCAACCCGCATTGAGCAGGCGTGGTGATTAATGCTCAAACCTTCTCCGTGTGAGAAGAGGCCTTTGCTCAGCAGTGGGCTTATGGAACGATGATGTGGTGTGTGAATGATGTGAATGTGACCTCCTACATGAATTATAGCAAAGGTGATTAAAGACAGTAAAAGTCATCGAATTCGATTGGATTCGGGGTCTAGTGTAAGTGAGTAGTATCGAGGTTGTGGATGCATATGCAGTAATGTGGCGCGGCCTCTTTAAGACAAAAACTGATAGAATTCATGTTTTTTTGTACATTATATTTAATTGTTATAAATATCAAAAATGTTATTATTCATAACCTGCGTAAAACAGGGATTACGTTCTCTTTTACTGTGTCAGGGAGGTTATTAAAAGCCCAATCTTACTCCCCCCCCCTCGGCTATCCCTAATCCTAGCAAACCAAAATCTGTAAAGGCCAGCAATATCTTCGATGTTGCGGGCGCCGATACCACTTCCATACGATTACCTTCAACTGATAAGGCCACTGATATTAGCCACCCTAACACCATAACACATAAAAATAAAGCCACTAGATGCAGGTCATTTTAAAGTGGTTAATCTGAAAGTCATTGGAGAGAGGCTTCTGTGGGGCAGTGGACATCTTTTGAACTATGGAACTATGATGATGATTATAAATCATGTTTAAAAAATGAGTACTTACGGTATCAATCATCACTTAAATATAAAATAAATAATTAAGCTGTACGGAATCTTCTATAATTTGATTTGCGGTATACGGTAAGGCACAAGAGCGAATTCAGGTCCGCTATTGAATGAATGTGTGAATTTCAACGTAGCAATCTTCTTCGGCATAGCAACTATCACCAAATGTCCGTCTTCAATTTCCGATACATCTATTTGTAATATTTGACACGTTGATAGTACTGGACAGTCAGATCGTTCCATAAAATTGTACTGTTTAACTGGGGTTGTATGGAAAATATCCAATTCACCGTCTGAATAGGGAGCGTAGTAGATCCGTAGGACTCCCCAATTTGATCCAACGAAATATACATCTCCATAAGGTCTTATAATAATGATGTCACGTAACAACCCATCATCCGGAATTGAATGGTTTAATACATACATCCATTGAAAGTATATTCTCCAATCCAATTGTTCTAAAAAGTTAAACTCTTTCAATTGGTGCAGTAAATTCGAGTCCGGGCCCAATGCGCAAACAAAAACCATCTCGTTATTAACTATTGTATATATTTTTCGATGAAAAGTTAAAATATTGAGCTGTTTATTTGTGTATCCAAGAGACATGATGCCATCTTCTGAACGAGTTATGTAGTGCGCTTTCAGTTGACGTTTGTAATAGTTACACATGTATATCTCATCCGATAAGGTAACGAAGTACAATGTATCGTCCGTTAGGTAGAAAAGTTTGCCATTACTGAAAGTAGTGTTACTATCATCCAATGTTATATTAAATATTGCTTTTTTGATGAGGTATAGTTCCAAATGGTAGCTCTGGATAACAATGGCAAGGTCATTTTCCATGTACCTGGAGTAATCGCCTGTAATAGGTTCTCTCTTACCTTCCTTAAAAGTTTCTAAGTCATAATAAATAATTGCTCCCTTTTTATGAACTCCTAGTACATTTTTATCAAGTATTACGAAGTTTCTTATCTCTTCATACATGCGGGATGCCGACGCGAACTCGTCTCTTTCTTCATTTGCGTCAGATAATCTGTTCCAGAGCGACAAAGATCGATAAAGGTGGAAATAGCTCAAACCATTTTTCTGCTTGCTTCGGGCCTTCAATGTAAACTTCGCTCCAAACTCTCTTATACAAAAACTACGCCACAAATCATCCAGTTCAGTTATTGCGTTAATTATTGTAAGCCATCTGGTACACACACCGCGTATCTTCCACAAATCTTTTGCAGGTAAATGGTAAAAAATATTTAACAAAAGTTCCGTCGGTAATAAACACATGTAACTAAGAGTATTGCTGGTATCGGACATTTTGGTTGTGTATTCAAACTTTTGTGAAGGGTTTTTGATATTGTTTTGCTGTTTTTATGTTATTTCATGATGTTATTTTGATTTTTCGTCTAAACAAACTATTCACAAACAAACATTCGATTTGACATTGAGCTGTCATGTCGTGGGTCACCTATTTTCTGTCATTAGACGTGGGTATTTGGATTTTTAGCATTTAATTTTTTTAACAATTTAATAAAAGTAGTTTAATAAAACGTGTGATATTTTTATGCATTTTTTAGTAGTATAGCAAAAAGAACATCTGTTTAATTTTGTTCCCTAGCCAATGAATGTAGGACGCTACACTCATTCGCTAAGGGACAAAATTATCCAGCCATTTTGTTTATAATATATTATTTTCTGTGATTGTTGTGACTTTCTCTGTGCATTGGCTTAAAGGACTTGTATCCAGGCCATAAATTAAAAATATTTCTGTGCTTGTCAAACTCAAACTTAAATTTAAAAACAAAAACGACAAATCGTGTTGTGATAAAGTATTTTTGGGTGTTTACATTATTATTAAGTTAAAATGTCTGCATTTAAACAGTTAAGAGATGTCAGCAACGCCTTCGAGCAGCAGTTGCGCAGTATATCTTCTGAACTATTCTCAGCGAAAATACAAGAGCCTTTTGAAGAAGGACTATCAAACAAACTACAAGATTTAACTTTTTTAACTTCAAAATTAAGGCTGTTAAAAGCTAAACCTTTATCTGGTAAGTGTTTTAAACTCTAAAACAATAATTTTCGTAGCTAGTTGAGTAGTTAAAATTACGAAAATGTCTATTTTTAGTTCAAAAATATCCATCTTACAAATACCAATAGCTGTGATGAAAAATAAAATTTTGTTGCCACTTTTCATGCATATTTAAGTGAAATCACACAAAGTCACATCGATCATCATGTAAACTTCTTTGTAAATAGTAATTACAATTAGTCCTATTAGAATATAAATAAAAAAAAGAATAGCTTCAAGTTACTTTGTATTTCTATCTATCTAAGGTTGATTGGACTTGAACTTTAATTAGTTATAAATACAAAACTATTTAACAATATACATTATACATTCATGTAGCATAATTCTAAATTCTTTAATGGTAGCCCACATCAAATTTTATTTTTTATTTTATTAAGTTAATACTTTACTATGATTAATAATGTTGTTCTACCTATGTTAATTTAATTAGTTCTAGTTTTAATTTCTATATATTTTGACTGTATAAATGCATAATTTTTAGAATGTTGGTTAGCTCGTAATTGGCTAATGTATATGACCTACTGCCTATAACCAATACTTTAAAACACTTGTATACATAAGCTGTGAGTATACCTTATAATAAATAAATAAATAAATATAGTGCAAAGATGTCATTACTGGAACTTTTCCTTTTGGTATTGTACCTTCCCAATAATTAAATATCCTAAACCCTTATCCCCTCGTAACTCCTTTGCTGATGCGGGTGTCCATGGGCGGTCCCGATTGCTTACCATCAGGTAATTAGACAGCTTCTTTGCCGACCTATCTCATAAAAAAAAAACTGACACTCCCTTTTGCCACAACCACTTGGGAGTTGTTTTAGTGCCATATTCATTTTTCCTCTCTAAAAATCGAAATCAATCTATGTATAAATTTGTACTAAATTATTTCAAGTTTAGCTCAACTGAGTGTGAATCTGTTTTCCAAGTATTTTGAGTTTAACCACTTAAATCATGTTATCTAATTTCCAGCCTTACCACAAATCACAGAAGGTCCGAAATCGCAAGAAACAATAAACGCATATGGGGAGTTAGCCAAATGGAAGGTTCTAGAACAGACTATAGTAAAATCTTTGACACAAGCGCATGCAGTGAAGGCTCTCATTACAACGCCGGATCGAAATTTAGACCCTGATCTTGTAGAAAGGAAAGAGTAAGTGCTTCTATAAATTTAATTGTTTTTTCTTCTGTTGTAACACTGAAACTGCCTAAGTAATCTTCACCATCCATAGATACTAGCAACACTAGAGTTACAAGTGTGTTTTTTTTATGTGATAGGTCGGCAAACAAGCGGACTGATTACTTTGATTTGATGGTAAGCAATCGGCGTCGCCCATGGACACCCGCAACAAAGAAGGAGTTACGAGTGCGTTGCCGACCTTTTAAGGATTGGGATTTTAGGGATTAGGGTAGGGGAAGGATTGGGCCTCCGGTAACCTCACTCACACGGCGAAACACAACGTTGCGGTTGTTTCACGGCGGGTTTCTGTGAGGCCGTGGTATCACTCCAGTCGAGCCGACCCATTCGTGCCGAAGCATGGCTCTCCCTCACATGTTGCCAGCCTTTTGGGCATGGGGAAAATGGGGGTTTCGGATATGAAGATTTAGGTTATTGTTATGCACTTTCATAGTGCAAAAAGGTATAGTTTTTAGCTGATGTCTCATTTGACTAATATTAAAAAAGTTAACTTATATTAAAACAGACCCTGCAAAATTGCTTTCGGCTTCTTGTATGCCTTCCAAAATACCGTGATCCTGTGATCCCGCGAAAAGTAGCAAACATACACACGTAAAAATAATATTATTATCTACATTGCCAAATAACTTGTCAATTGGTCCACTCACTTAAGGGCAAAATTCCCACAGGTCACTCCTTTTTTTTTTGAGTAAAAAAAATCATTCTACTGCTTTTCGCGCCTTAGGGCCAACGGGAGTATCAGAAAAACAGGCACAAAAATCCCGACTATCGTCGGGCATAGCACACATCTTCGCACACCTTGTCTGGTCGGAGGACCCTCCCTTTTCAATGAAGGATGAGGAACTTAACACTCTGTTCTATCATTCTTCCAAACGAGTTTGAATTTTTTTAAATTATAGTATTCAATACTGCGTCTTAGCAATTTTTATTCTAGACTAGCGTTAGCCCGCGCCTCCGATCGCGTGGAATAGTGACTTTCTGATGATTTTTGGTATAAAAACTATTTTATAATGTTTCTCGAGTTCCAAACTACTATGTCTGCACCAAATTTTCCCAGAAATCGGTTCAGTAGTTTAGGCATGAAGAAAAGACAGACAGACAGACAGAGTTACTTTCGCATTGATAGTATTAGTTTGGATATTCCTCAATAGCTTACCGAATTATGTTTTGACAAATCACAAATAAAAAAGTTGACACATAAAATAACAATTTAAAATATAAATTAAATTGCAAGTTATGGCAATTTTTTTTATATACTTACTCTAATTTAGCCTGTATAGCCTTAGGATTTGTAATTGGCTGTTCAATTACCATTCTAAATTAGAATGTGTTTTTTTTTTTTTTATTTCCAGGCAAATAACGACAGCACTCAAGGAGTTTCGCCATCAAGAATCACAGCTCCGTCACTTAAAGAATTTGGAAGCAGAGAAAGAGGCAGAACTAGCTGCTACCAGATGTCTCTGGGATCAGGAACTGACACAGCTTAGAGAGATGAGAGAATCCGGCAACTACTTCGAAGAATATGATGTATCAAGCCCTATGTATAAGTAAGTGATTTTTTTATGTAATAGGTCGGCAAACGAGCTGACGCATTACCTGATGGTAAGCAATCGGCGCCGCCCATGGACACCCCCAACATCAAAGGACTTATAGGGAGTGGGCCTTTAAGAATTGGTTTAATTGGGGAGGAGGAATGATTGGGCCTCCGGTAACCTGACTCACACGGTGAGTTGCTTCATGCCGGTTTCCTGTGAGGCCGTGTTATCACTCCGGTCGAGACGACCTATTCGTGTCAAAGCATGGCTCCGGTACGAATGGTCGGGTCTTACTATAATAATAATAAAAAAAAAACACGACTGCCTGTTGTCAAGAGGAAAGGATACCTAAGCAATTTTTATTGCGTTCGGGCGACATTTGATTGATTAAGTTAATGTCCCAGAGGACTGTCCCCCGATAGAACATAGTCGAGTAAACCATACAGAGATCTAAACTAATATTATAAAGAGATAAAATTTGTAAGTCTGTATGTTTGTATGTAGGGCGTAATCTTTGGAACCGCTGGTCGGATTGCCAAAATTCTTTCACTGATATATAGCTACAATGTTCCTGAGTGCTATAGGCTATAAAACATCACGCTTCGATCAAATGGAGCTGAGCAGCGGGTGAAACCGCGCGAGAGTAGCTAGGTATCCAACACTCAACAAATGCAATAATAATAGGTCTTTACCTATGAAATTGCCGTTCTGCAGTACTGGCCATTTCAAATCAAAATAGTTTTTGTTAGGGTTAAGGCTAATTAATTTTGTTTTAAAAACATGGAATTCTTTTTCCAAAAATAGTCATTTGTTTATTGATCAGTGTTACATTTTCATCGCATTTCAAATCAAAAAATTCGTTTAAATTTTTTCATGCAAAACGGCAATTTCATAGGTAAAAACCTAAAGATATCTTTTAACGTTTTCAGAAAACTCCGCACCGTGGTCGATAAACTGGAGCTAATGCGGTGGTTGGTTGGAAGATTGGTGACGTCACGAGGGTCACGTGATTGGCTCGCGACCCCCGACCGCACGGCCCATCTACTCCGATTGGCCACCAAACACAACACCGTCGATACATTCCTTAAAGACTAAATTCCTTTGACAAAATATTTTGTAAACTTTACGAATCAATAAAACAAGTTGTCCACTATATAAGGTTTTTTTAAACGTTGCCCCTCACTAGGATTTTCTCCTGTGTCGTGGGCGCGTTTACAAACATACCTACTATTTTACATACAGACCCGGAACAGCAATTTGTGGATCACACAAAAAGTTGTTCCGTACGGGAATCGAAACCGCAACACGTTGTAACACCAATATAATAAAGTCGTAATTTAATTTTTTAGACTTAAAAAAAGTAAGGAAATTGATGTATACCTATTGTGTGTTTATTTTTTTTATTTTATTTTTATTAAGTAATTTTTTTCTTTTTGTTCTTTCACGGGACTACAGGATCCCGGACCTTTGAAAGGCGTACAAGGGTCCGAAGCCAACTCGCAGAGGCCCGTTGAACAATAGGACATCAACCGGCAATTATCCCTGTATGCACTATAAAAGTACACCCAAGGACAATCCCCGGTTGCGAAGGACTATTGTGCAATATGGTACAAAATTATGTGGCTATGGGTGTGGGTGGCTCTGGGCTGATATTAACTAGCAATTCAAATATAATTATTATGAATTGGGTAGTTTCCTAGGTCAAAAATTAATTAATTCGATGTTTGAATACAATAAAATATTGAAAAATAACTGTACTTTTATTCATCGATCGATCGATACACCAAGTTTTAGACTTTTTTAGCTAATTATTGTGTAATAAGTAAGCTATTTGACGCAAAAATGTTATGACGTCATAGCTCAGTTTTTCATAGAAAAGTATCGTTTTTGACGTTTGGATAAAAGTATTGAATTTGACTAGTTGGAAACTACCGTATTGTGTTTTTACATGTGATAGGTCGGCAAACGAGCAGTTTTATATTATAGTACTCTGTGACGAGTAGACGGATTACCTGATCGTAAGTAATCTGCGCCGCCCATAGACACCAACAACACTGAAGGAGTTTAGTAGAAAATTTGAATAAAAAAATAATAAACAAATTAATAAGGATATAAGAAAATACGAATAGAAACATATTTATCACGATATGTATTGTGAAATTATTCAACAGATTTTCAAACTCAACTTTTAAGAAATAAAGTTTAATATAGGTAAATCTATCAACATAATTTCATACTTCGCAACCAATTACTTAAATAATTCTAAAATTTATGAATAATTATTGTTTTTATTGTAGTATCCGCCATTAGGGTAGTACACCGGAGAATCGGATGTCCTAGTGCCTTCGCAGACCGTTCCTGACAGAACATTGTCCACATTTGCCCTGGAAATAAAATAAAAAACATTAATAGTAGGTACATACTTCCATTTTATTTTTTTAATGTAATAGATCGGCAAACGAGCAGACTGATTACCTGATGGTAAGCAATCAATTTAAGTGTGGGAGAGCCATGCTTCGGCACGAATGGGTCGGCTCGACCGAGTGATACCACGGCCTCACAGAAGACCGGCGTGAAACAACCACAGCGTTGTGTTTCGCCGTGTGAGTGGGGTTACCGGAGGCCCAATCCCTCCTCAATCCTTAAATCTCCAAATCCCTAATCCCTAAAAGGTCGACAACGCACTCGTAACTCCTCCGTTGCGCGTGTCCATGGGCGGCGGTGATTACTTACCATCAGGTAATCCGTCTGCTCGTTTGCCGACCAATTACATAAAAAAAAAATCAGTGCCGCTCATGGAGGCATCAGAGCAGTTACGAGTGCGTTCCCGACCTTTTGGGGAATTATTGGGCTTCCGATAACCTCACTCACACGGCGAAACAAGTGGGCGTCTTGGTGTGATGTGTATGTGAAATTGGACAACACAGGACAACAAAATTGTTTGAGAAAAAATAAGGTTTAAACTTACTTGTAAACAAAGAAGTTGTATTCTTCTGGATTAAATCTTGAATAAATGAATCTAGGTAATGTATTCGATGTCACCCATACTTCGTTTTCTGTCACATGCAGATCTGTAATACATAATATTGGGAAAGATAAAATAACATAACATAAATACTGGATATTTAATTCACATTCTATGACTGGTGACACGCATTTTTGACATTATCAAATCTTCTTATATATAAAAACGAATCGCGAAATGTGTTGGTAAGCGCATAACTCGAGAACGCCTGGACCAATTCTACTGATTCTTTTTTTGTTATGTGTGTTATAGTTAGGAGCAGGTTCTTATCAAAGGAAATTTAAAAAATGTCGAGGTTTAAATTGGAAAAAGTGACCCTTTTAGCGAGAGTTGGACCCGGGCGAAGCGGGGGCGGGCCGCTAGTATGCAATAAAAATGGAACGCAAAATATGTTGGTAAGCGCATAACTCAACAACGCCTGGACCAATTTTGCTAATTCTTTTTTTGTGCTGTTTGTTATTATCAGGAGATTGTTCTTATCATCATAAGAAAATATTAGAAAAGTAGAGGGTAGAGTTGGGTAATAGGTACCCTTTCGTCGTAAGCGAGATGATGAGACCCGTGCGGAGCAAGGGCGATATGCTACTTTAGAATAAAAATCTGTACAGGCGGCCTTATAGCCTTAGGTAATTTCTCAAAAACTACTTATTCTAGCAACACAGAACTCGGAACTTGGAAATAGACAATCATACGGTAGATACAACTATGAAAACACCGAAACACTGGCGGCGTGTCCCAGGGACATGTATGACTGTCTTGGATCCCGCAACGAAATCAATCAGAAGATATTATTTAAGGACAAAAAAACTAAATAGTTTCTATATCCCTCAGTAAATTTACATAATGCAGGAGACAGAATAACTTAAGTCTTAAAGGTACAAAAGAGGCTGCACAACTGGGAGAAGCCCAGTCACGAAACACCATGGAAAATTTACTATTGTAATGTGACCTATGTATGTGTGAGCTGTTACTGAGTCAACTGCTATCTAGTAATAGCTATAGCATAAACTCCTAAACGCACGGGAATTTGTTCAACATTCTACAAGGTACCTACATGTGATAAACTACACCTTTTCCATGGGAAAATCATCAAATGACTCCTGCTCAGGGTAGGGCGAGAGGGAGTGTCAGACTCCTACCGACTAAAAAACCCCCAGTTTCCTTATTCCGCAAACCCCGGCCTCGTCTGTGGTGGTCTTTGAGGCACGCCTGGAACGCTACGCGCTGTACGCTCTGGTCTGGTTCTGGTCGGGCGGCGAGCTACCCTTACTCGCCGTCCGCGGTTACTGTGTCTGCAGCTAGGGCGTGGGGGGGGGGGATTTCTCCCTCACGCGGTCCGCCTCCTTCTTTGAGAGCATAACTGCTTCTCAGAAGGAGAAGACGGCGTCCGCAGAAAACGCGATTATGAACTATTCCTCTTCTCATCCAGATCCATTCGTGGTTAGATGCGAAGAGCTGAACATCGAGCTCAGTAGCGTTCAATTGGGGAGGCCTATGTCCAGCAGTGGACGACAACAGGCTGATGATGATGATGATGAACTACACCTGACATTATTTACCTGAAGGATAGCTTAGTTTTGAGCTGTGCTGAGCCAGCATTTCCATGTTATCAGGGCTAAGCGGCTTTTCAGTATTCCAGCAGGATATGGAATCTCTTCCTACTTCAGCGAAGAATATCACCTTCGATGCGCCATGCATATCATGCATCGTACTCTGACTATTGGTCCCTCGATCACCAACCACCTGAAAATATTTGATTTCTACTATAAAAAACACGCTGGAATCTTCGCTGCAAACATAATTTCACACAGGTCAAAAGCCAAGAACATTTACTTATTCCAATTAAATCATAATACAGGGAATTTTGAAACGTCGAAATAAAATAATAGCCCGTCAGTCTCAAGTTTATATGTTTCAAGTTTTTCGTATGTGAAGTTAGGTGACCGCAATACAACCAGATTCTGAGCTAAAGAAGTGTGGATCACATAAGAATCATTTCCAAGAACAGTTTAGTAGGTTTAAATACCTAAGGGCTAATTTTTCAATAGTCAAATAAATGTTATCTGAGGAATAAAATTGTTGCTGTCACTGTCTTATACAAACATTCTGACGCGACAGCATCATAATTATTCCCCGGGGAACTTTTATCCAACCATTGAAAAATCAGCCTTAATAAAAATTAAAGAATTAAAAGACAGTAAAACATGCTTTTCGACGCCAAACATAACTGAATACACTTTGGTCTTCTGGTGGTCTACTACTAGTCTACTATTGACTTACTTATTGTCTCTCTTGATTTAGGTACTTATAATTAACTGACGATCAATGTTCTAATTAATTAATGTTCTACTGGTCGTCTATTATAGTCTGCTCATGGTCTATTACTAGGTACTTAAAAGTCAAAGTTAAAGCATTTCTGTTAGATAAACAGGCACTTTTGAAAATTTCTAAAATCTAGGTATTATAAATGGTGAAGAAGTCTACTCGTAGTCTACTTACAGTCTACTAACGGTCTTCTAAAGAAAAACTTACATTAAAAGCAGATTGGTTAGCTTCTCTCTTCTCCAACTCACACGAAGACACAGAGAACTCCTGGTTGCTGACCATAGGATGGAAGTAGACCTGCCGACATCCATCGGGCCCTGGTTCTCCAGTAGCAACGCTGAAGATTCCATCATTCCACGTGAAAGATTGACCTGGAATTGGGTAGGTATTTTTTTGCTAAATGAACAATAATTACAATACATTACTTGTATTTTTGCCTTTTAATATCCGAGAAACCTAGAATGTAAAAATAAAAAGACCACTTTACAGTTAATTTGTGCTATGCCAGTAGACATGACTTCATATCATCAGCCTTTAAGTGGTCACTGCTAAGCAAAGGAAAGACCTACATTCATACGGAGAAGGTTTTAGCATTAATCACTAAGTACGCTTGCTCATGGTGTCTCGGAAGTCAAGTAGCCCGTTTCTCATGCATGAGGGTGTGAGACCGAAATCTGGCAAGTACCAATGTCACTTTTTCCGTGTTATATGTACTTTCTATGATTATTTAGACACCACTGGCATACGGTGAAGGTAAACATCGTGAGGAAACCTGGGCATATAATTTCTAATTATAAGTTTGAAATCGCCAACCCGCATTGAGCAAGCGTGGTGATTATTGCTCTAACCTTCTCCGTATGAGAAGAGGCCTTTGCTCAACCATGGGCATTTATAGGCTGATGATGACGCTTGCTCAAGGCGGTTTGGTGATTTTAAACTTATAATTAGAAGTCGTTTATGATCATGCCTCTCTCTCTCGATCGTATCGCGCTCTCACTCACATAAAGTGACCGGGAACGTAACGGGACAATGACGTCATCTTTTTCGTGCATGCAGCACGTAGTATCGAGTTATTAGAAATTGTCACTTCAAAAATCATACTTAATACTATAATTGTAAGAGATTGTAAAAATTAATAAGAGATATTCCGTTTTGGTTGAACTTTGGTATGTAGATAGCTATAATACCCTGGATTAACACATGGGCCTTCTTTTATCAACATACCGAGCTAAGCCTTGGAAAGAAGCTAATAAATGATAAACCAACCTGCAACCCTCAAATTTCCAGAAGTGGGATTGAAATGGAAGTAATTATGCTGATGCCTCCAGCTGTCATTCTCTCTTAAGGAGTAGACGACGAGGCCATAAGTGACCAGATCTGGTATAAAAGCGTACGCATTGCTGCAATCCCCGTTTTTGATAACCACGGTGATTGAGGCAAGACCTGTAAAAATTAAAACACGAACACTTAGGAAGGAATGTAAATAACGACACTAATTATGTGTGGGAGAGCCAAGCTTCGGCATGAATGGGTCGGCTCGACCGGAGTGATACCACGGCCTCACAGAATACCAGCGTGAAACAACTCACAGCGTTGTGTTTCGCCGTGCGAGTGAGGTTACTTGAGGCCCAATCGCTCCCCTTCCCCTATCCCCTCCCAATCCTTATATCCGCAACCCTTCCCCAAAAGGCCGGCAACGCACTCGTAACTCCTTTGGTGTTGCGGGTGTCCATGGGCGGCGCCGATTGCTTGACATCAGGAAATCCGTCTGCTCGTTTGCCGTCTTATACCATTAAAAAAGGCCCTCCATCCCCAAAACGCCAATATCCCTCAATCTTTACCATTAAAAAGTCATCAATGCACTCGTATCAAGACTATTTATTGAGTCTAATATTCTTCAGATTGATTCATTCACTTACGCCGTTTATATAATAATAATATAATATATTTTTTAACAATGTGTAAAAAAATCTTACCAGTAGCAGTGTTATTAGCAGGGAGATCTGAACTCTTGAATTGATACCGAAGAATCTGTTTGTCCGTCCTCAGATCGTACACCACAATCGCAGGCGGCTGCAGGTAGCGAGGGTTGTCTGTGAAAGTGAGAAAATTAAAATTCAATGAAAATATTGACTAGAATCAAATCTACTAACCCGCAATCTTCACTTTTAAGGCCCAGAGAGAAAAGTTCCCTTTTTTTGTGAGGGGAAAATCAAATGACTTCTCCCGCCCAGGGTAAGGCGAGAGAGAATGTCAGACGCTTACTGAATTACCCCCCCCCCCCACCCCGTTCCTTCTCCTGCTCTGGGCCAAAGCCGCTGTGACTCATTGCACTTAACCCACAACCCTGGCTGAACATCCGCCCTATATGGCCCCGTCTATGGTGGTCTGTTGGTTCTTTGAGGCGCGCGCGGAACGCTACGCGCCGAGAATAAAGTTCCCTAAGATCAGAAAAGGAGGATCCTTCGACTAGGCAGGGTGATCAGCCCAGCGAGCTACTGCCCAACAGTTGTCCTTTAGGATTTTCCATTCGTAAATTTCGCGCGCAAACTTCACTTAGATGTTGTAGGACTTGAGACGCCATCTGTTGAACATTGTCGTCGATCTATGTGCGTCGCCACATAGTCTTCGAAGGGATACCAAACTTCTTGTCCGACCTGAATATTTTTCGCCACTGAATTATCGAGGCAGTTTAACACTTTATACCACTACGATTTTCACAATGATCTCTCGGATGCCGCCTACATTTCTCGTACATTTTAGGACGTTAATCCTTGCCACGCGACGATGCGACGTCGACGCTCGGAAAACACGTTGACGTCAGCGCTAGTAAACCGCCTAGTGGCATAGCTGCCTTATATTGAACTCGCCGGGTTAGTCGGCAGCGCTGGAATAAAATTTACGGGAACTGGGCGAGTCGGTGGCACTGAATATGTTAAAACTAACCTAATAATCGCCCTAAATTCCTGATTAAAAGTGTCACACTTACTCGGTATTTCAATGACTCCAGTATCCACCATCCACAGTCGTCCACACTCATCAGCTCTGGTCCTGTACACTGATATCAAAGACCTAGATCTGGCCATATCTGGGTATGGACGGAGTGGTGGCGAACGAGTATTCCCGTAGACATTCAAGTCTATGTAGTTCAATGTTGCGGGTATACCTGTAGAAGACCAGAAAAATGTTAATGGATATGCAGGAAAGAATGAAGAGAAGATGGACGGAATGTGAAGAATGGTGATGAAATAAATTCGCCATGTGAAGGAACCACGCTTCGGCTCGAACGGCGTGATACCACTGTCTCACAGAGTGTCCATGTCATTGGTTAATATGGAGGCCCAATCTACCTTCCTCCGGTGTCTAGCAATGCACTTGTAACTCCACTCATGTTGTGAATGTCCATATGTATCGCAGATGGCTTACCATCAGGTTTGAGGCATATTTGCAATACCAAAAAATTCAATGAAAGCATTGACAAAACGATGAAGGACTGAGTCAAGAACGATAAAAAGGAGTTTTTGATATGGTGGTGTTTTTTGTATTGTGAAGATAATCAAAAGACTTTTTCTGAGAATCAGACTCTTACTGACTAAAAGCTTTCGTTCTTCCTGCTCTAAGCCGAGGCTGCAATAAATTATCGCACTTGCCCCGCAACCCCAGCTATAAGATGATGTCTGATGTCGAAGAATCGTGGAAGAAGACATTGTGCTTACTCAAATCCCACCATCATTAGCGTAAACGCGCCCACTGTTGAGCAAAGACTTTTTACACGGAGAAGGTTTGAGCATTAATCACCACGCTTCCTCAACGATTTGAAACTTATAATACGGTAATTTCCAACTAGTCAAATTCAATACTTTTATCCAAATGTCAAAAACTACACTATTCTATGCAATTTGTATGAAAAACTGAGTTTTGACGTCATAGTATTCTCGCGCCAAATAGCGTACTTATTTCTTAAAAATTTGCTTAAAAATATCTAAATTTTTGTGTATCAATCGATCGATGAATAAAAGTATATTAATTTTTCAATATTTTATTGTATTGAAACGTCGAATTAATTTATTTTGGACCTAGAAAACTACCCAATTAAGTCCAGGTTTCCTCACGATATCTTCCTTTAATACATATAATTCGGTAGTGTCTCAATAATCATCATAAAAAGTATATATAACTCGGAAAAAGTCACATTCGTACTTGCCAGGTTTCGAACCCTCATATATGAAAAGCAGGCGCCTTACCCTACAGGCCACACGAGGTTGTGCTTATTCAAATGCATAGAAAGGAGGTCGTTTTGAAAGAGAAAAGCAACTGTCTTACCAAATCTTCGCCGTGGGATCGTGACGAACACGCGGTCGCCTACTCTTTCCGCCCCCATCGGAACGTTATTATATTGAACGAAGAATCTTCCGATTTCATCTGAAAATTTATAAGCAATTTCTTTCTAAATATCATTATTAATTTTTGCCAGAAGTGATTTTGTAAGATTATTATGTGGGAGAATCATGCGTCAACACGAAGGCGTTGGCTCGATCGAAGTGGTACTACGGCCTCACAGAAAACCGGCGTGAAACAAACACAGCGTTGTTTCGCCGTGGGTGTGAGGTTACCGGAGCCTAATACTTCTCCTCCCACTATCCCACCTAAATCCCCAAACCTTCGATACTCCAATCCCCAAAAGATACAATTCCCAGTTAATATTTCCCGACATTTCATTTCTACTTTCAAAATTTTTTCTTGCCCTTTTTTCTTGCAGAACCTTCCCCGTTTGGTAAAAGTCAAAACAAAAGAACTGACCAAATGGGGTGTTATGCACTTACCAACGCTAATTAGCGAACCATTTTTATATACATATATAGATACAGGTGACATTTTGAACGAGGCACATATTATTTTTCAAGGATCCGATTTTCGTGCTCAATTACAACAACTTTTTTCATGGGACTAATATCGAAATCTCAAAAATAAATTTATTTCCATTCCATACAAATTGCAACAGCTGATTGCTCATTTTGCATGGAAAAGAAAAAATAGAAGAAGAAAAAAGAAAGAAAGAAAGAAAGAAAAAAAAAACATTTATTTCCGCGCAAACGCACACACATAAAACATAAAATACAAAAAAAAGAAGAAAATAAAATAATACTAAAATCTAAACTAAATGATACAGATAAAAATTAAATGGTTTTAAAAAAAATAATAACAAAAGAAAATAAAAACAAATTTTGGCTATGATCCACAGAGTATTTTAACATTATGCGCGAGGTCGCGTGTATTTTTTTATTATCTGTGGACCATAAGGACAAGATAGTAACATTTGAGATTTCCATATTTATTGGTCTTATGGAAAAAGTTGTTTTATTTGATCATCATGGCAGAATCGGATCCTTGAATATGTGCCTCGTTCAGAATGCCACCACGTAGGTATAGATTTCTCCGACTTAAAACACTTACCATTAGGATTGATCGCTGCTGAACTCGGCGTGTCAATAGGATTGTTGTATATAGACTGCGATGGTCCTGAAATAGCAAATATTTTGTTAACATACTCTCATCAACAAAAACTAAAAATTCTCTTTTTTATTACATAGGTCGGTGAACGAGCATGCGGATTACCTAAGGGTAAGTAATCGGCGCCGCCCATGGGCACTTGCAATACGGTAAAATGTGGTGAATAAAATTTGACCGGTGAATAGATTTTTTTTTCATGGAATATTTCGGCAGACGAACAGACGGATTACCTGATGGTAAGTTATCAGCGCCGCCCATGGACACCCGCAACGGAGGAGTAACGAGTGCGTAACCTTTTAGGGATTAGGGTTTTGGAGATTTAGGGATCGGGGGAGGGGAAGAATTGGGCCTCCGGTAACCTCACTCACACGGTGAAACACAACGCTGTGGTTGTTTCACGCCGGTATATTCCTAGTCTGAACTTTCCTAGTATCTATTTACCCTTCTTCTGTATCCATTCACCCTTTGAATTCTATAAACCTACTAAAGGGGTTAAGTACTACAAGTGCATTGCCGACCTCTCGTGTGTTATTAGGGAATTAAGGATAAGGGATTTCAGGATTGAGGATGATGGAAAATTTGGGTCTTTCCGTAATCACACTCACATAGCACGGCGACACAAAGGCTTCACGCCGGTATTCTGTGAGGCCGCGGTATCATTCCGTTCGAGCCGACCCATTCGTGCCGAAACATGGCTCTCCCACACTTTTATATGAGGGTTTATATTATTATATTATACTAGCTTTTGACCGCGACTCCGTTCGCGTGGAATAGTAACTTCCTGCAGAATTTTTGTTTAAAAAACTATCCTATGTCCTTTCTCGAGTTCCACAAATGTCACAGGAATCGGTTCAGTAGTTTAGGCGTGAAGAAAAGACAGACATAAAGACAGAGTTACTTTCGAATTTACAATATAGCTTTGGATGCAGCTGTTGTAGTTCAGTCAGGTAATAATGATGTCTTTTTAATATTTATTTCTAAGTTCCCATTATACTTCAAAATTAGTTAAATAGGTACATTAGTGTGGGAAAGCCATGCTTTAGCTTGAATGGACTGGCAAAACTGGAGTAGTACCACAACCTCACAGAAAACCAGCTTGAAACAACTACAGCATTATCTTTTTCCGTGAGAGTGCACTCCGGTCGAGCTGGCCCATTCGTCCTGAAGCAGGACTCTCCCACATTTATCATTCAAAATTGTCATTTATGGTTTCAAAGCTAAAGTCAAAAGTCAAGACAAGACATCGGAACCTATTTCGTTTTTTCTTCTCTTCAAATAATATCTTCTGATTTATTTCGTTGTGGGATCCAAGATAGTCATTCATGTCCCTGGGACGCGCCGGACTTTAGTGTTCCGGTGTTTTCATGGTTGTATCTACTGTAGATCCTGGTGCACAGGAGTTGCAGTGGTTTTGGGAGGATTTGGCAGGCCAAAATATATTATAAAAAATACTTACGCTTGTTCCAAACTTTTTCGTCTTCGTTGTAATTATCAAAATAAATTCTATCAGTTGACCTCTTGTTTCTGCTAACTAGATCATCCTCTGAAAACCGATCTTCGAATACTGAAAATACAGTAAAAATAAATTAACATCAAAGTAGGTATTTCAATTGTTTTTTTTTATAAATGCAGGCAAACGAGCAGACTTATTATTGGTACCGGTGACGGCAAGCTATCGGCGGCGTCCGTGGACAACCGCAACGCTATGGTTTTGTTTTTAAATTGACGATTTTTTTTTTATAAAAACTTTGCCCCACACACACACTTTGGCTTTTCTCCTGTGTCGTGGGTGCATTAACAAACATATAATTCCACATACACATCACATCCAGACCCGGAAAAACAATTTGTGGATCACACAAAGCGTTGTTCCCTGCGGGAATCGAATCCGCGACACGTTGCGCGGCAGCCAGCAGCCCAGCCACCGAGCCAACTGTGCAGTCATGGTTATTTCTTTCACGCGTTTTCTGCGAGGCCGTGGTATTACTCCGGTGGAGCCGACCCATTCGTGCCGAAGCATGGTTCTCTCACACTTAAAATTTTCCACCAGGACCACGACCCTGGTTTTTAGTACCTTCCTAACTAATGAGGTTTTAGTCATTAGCAATGTAATTCTTAGTAGCAGATCAGTTCAGAAAATAACACATTATGTAAGGGAAACATAAAAACAAAGTCAGATATCAATTTCATACGAACCGCCGTTTTTTGTTTCATATTTTTTTGCCAAACAGTTCTCCGAGTGCATTCGGTACAAAACCAGTTGTTTTTTATGTTCGCAATCTTAAATCACGATTACTGACGATTCAAAGTTAAATATATTAACGAGAATCGAAATCTATATTAATATTATAAAGCTGAAGAGTTTGTTTGTTTGTTTGAACGCGCTAATCTCCGGAACTGCTGGTTTAAATTGAACCATTTTTTTTTGTTTGTTAGTCCTTATATAGGCATATAAGCTACTAGCTACTCTCGCGCGTTTTTACTCGCTGCTCAGCTCCATTTAGTCGTAGCGTGATGTTTTATAGCCTATAGCAATCAGGATTTTTTCAGTGAAAGAATTTTGGAAATCCGACCAGCGGTTCCAAAGATTACCCCCTACATACAAACTTACAAACATACAAACTTACAAATTTTACCTCTTTATAATATTAGTATAGAAGTATTGATAAAACATCACGCTACGATCTGTAGGAGCAGAGCAGCGGGTGAAACCGCGGGACAGTAGTTATATAGTTATTTTATATTCTCTGATGACGTAAGTTTTTTTTTCTTAAGGGGGGATAACATAAAATGACTTCTCCCTTCTTTTTCCCTTCACTTAGACAGTGCATAGATTTCTGTCCGAAAGATTTATAATGATTTAGTACCTGGACTCTTTTTGCTTTTTATTTAGGTAGTTGTTTTATCAGCAAAATACAAATAAAATATAATCATCAGCCTGTAAGTGCCCACTTCTGAGCAAAGGCCTCTTCTCACACGGAGAAGGTTTGAGCATTAATCACCACGCTTGCTCACTGCGGGTTGGCGATTTCAATCTTATAATTAGGAACTACAAGTCCAGGTTTCCTCACGATGTTTACATTCACCGTATGTCAGTGGTGTCTAAATAATCATAGAAAGTACATATAACTCGGAAAAAGTCACATTGGTACTTGCCAGGTTTCGAACCTACACCCTCATTTTAAGACAGAGACATTTTAATATAACGATTATCTTCGCCCAAAAAAAATACCTACCGTCTTTTTTTTTGGTAAAACCAAAATATGAACCGTGGTATTTATTTAAATCAGTGAATTACAAGAGACTTGGTAATTATTAAGTAAGTACCCTGTTCGGGTCACCATAAAAAAGATACGGTCAGATACTAATTTTATTGCGGACCAAAAATTTAATTTATAATTTGATTTGAATATTTTTTAAGGTTAGTTTTTTCGGATTTGAAGTTGGCTCTTTTACAAAGACATTTTTCACAAAAATAAATTAATTCGACGTTTCAATACAATAAAATATTGAAAAATAACTATACCTTAATTCATCGATCGATCTATATCTTCAATTTTAGATATTTTATAGTTATTTTTTAAGAAAAAAGTAAGCTATTTGACGCAAAAAAACTATGACGCCATACATAACTCAGGTTTTCATACAAATTTCATATAAAAGTATCGTTTTTGACGTTTGGATAAAAGTATTGAATTTGACTAGTTGGAAACTACCGTATTACCTGATGGTAAGCAATCGGTGCCGCCCATGGACTCAAAGGTGTTACGAGTTTTTGCCCGTCTTTTAGGGATTAGGGTATCTGAGATTCAAGGATTGGGGTAGAATGGAAGAAGAAGAAGTATTGGGCCTCCGATAACCTCACTCACACGGCGAAACGCAACGCTGTGGTAACCATTATGTATCACTTCTGTCGAGCCGATCCATTCGTGCCAAAGCATGGATCCTCCACACTTAGGTAATAGCAACTAAAACTAAAATTTTCTTTCGAATTTATGAAGCCAAAATTTCGAAAAGAGGAGTTGAAATAAAGTCGTAATGACCCGGAGGTTAAGACGCCCTTCTCATACATGAGCACCAATGTGACTTTTCTGAGTTATTTGTATTTTCTATGATTATTTAGATACCACTGACAGAGGTTGAAGATAAAACATTGCAAGGAAACCTGGACTTATAATTTCTAGTTCTTATTCTATTATAAATTCTAAAAATAGCACATCCTTCTTCAAGTACAAAACATAATATGTACAATTTTTTTGCTTGTAAACTATTCTCATACTTAAATGTTTTTCCCATAACTCCGATTCAACGCGTGACGCGATCAAAGATGTAACGTGCAATTATTGACGTACGGGTAGTTAAAGTTCTTGTGAATTGACGTGCTGTGTTTTATGAAAAAAACAAACAAACTAAATTGCTTTGGAGTTGCGAACTTGCGAGTGATATTTGTGTTCTATTTGAAGATAGAAAATCATTTGCATGTGAACATCCATGAAAGTGTGAAGTTTAACTTTTAGAATGTGGGAGAGCCATGCTTCGGCACGAATGGGTCGGCTCGACCGGAGTGATACCACGGCCTCACAGAAAACCGGCGTGAAACAACCACAGCGTTGTGTTTCGCCGTGTGAGTGAGGTTACCGGAGGCCCAATCCTTCCCCTTCCCGGACCCATCCCCAATCCCTAAATCTCCAAATCCCTAATCCCTAAAAGGTCGGCAACGCACTCGTAACTCCTCCGTTGCGGGTGTGCATGGGCGGCGTTGATTGCTTACCATCAGGTAACCCGTCTGCTCGTTTGCCGACTTATTACATTAAAAATAAAAATAAAAGTTTAGTAATATTAATATTGCAAACGTGACAAGCCACAGCGTGTGGCTTTTTAATTTTCTTGAATAGATTTTTTTAATGTCACAAGTCGGCAAACGAGCAGACGTATTATTTATTACCCGGTAGTAAGCAATCAGCGCCAAAATGTCATGGTGGCCCGGAGGTTAAGGAGCCCGCTTATCATGCACGAGGGTGTGGGTTCGAAACCTGGCAAGTACCAATGTGACTTTTTCCGAGTTATATGTACTTTCTATGATTATTAAGACACCACTGACACACGGTGAAGGTAAACATCGTGAGGAAACCTGGACTTATAATTTCTAATTATAAGTTTGAAATCGCCAACCCGCATTGAGCAAGCGTGGTGATTAATGCTCAAACCTTCTCCGTATGAGAAGAGGCCTTTGCTCAGCAGTGGGTACTTATAGGCTGATGACGAAGCAACATTGACACTCGTAATACAAAAGGAGTTACTAGAAGTGTGGTGCCGACATCTTGTGGGTTTTTAGGGATTTAAGGAAAGGGGATTTGAGGAATTAGGATGGGTGGAGGGGAAGCATTGGGCCTTCTATGCCGCCGATGCCGGCTTTAAAAAAAAAAGTCAAAAATCATTTATTCCAATTAGACCTTTACAGGCACTTTTGAACGTCAAACAAAAATTTTGAAGATATAGTGTCAGTCTGTCGGTCAGTCCTCTTAGTGAAGCTATTTGCTCGTTCCAAAGTGTAGATTCCGATGGAGAAGAACGAGCAAGAAACAGATTCTTTTTACAAACAGTTGGTTCAATTATGTGCGAACAGGGAGGCTTTTGGGGATAAGGGTTTTGGATACTTAAGGATTGGAGAGGGATGGCGAGAGGGAGAGGAACATGGCGAAACACAACTTAGGTGTTGTTGGGCCGACCGTGATCACGCCGAAGCATAAGTCTCCCCCATCTCAAGAAGAACTAATTGTGAAATATGATTTTCTACATAAGAACATAAGGCTGGCAATAAAAACGTGTGAGAGACTAAGGAAAAACACTACATCATAAAATAAATGATTCCTAGAACCGCATTAAGAATACAAAACAACAATATAAATAAAATTCTTCCGTCATAGATGATTCAGTGTGTGACAGACAGCACTGCGTGTAGCAAGCTGTATGATAATATGTAGCACGCTTGTAGCTACACTATAAGCGTGTGACAGATTATTGTATATTTTTTATATTTAACTATCTCTGTAAACAAACTTTAAATTAATGTTAACTGTCTCTGAAAACGCACATGAAAATGAGGTTACCATTGTTATTGTTTAATGTTTATTAAATTTGATATCTAAAAGCTTACATATTTAATGATTTAAATAAATATTAAAAGTATCGCTATAAGTTTTAAATAAGATTTGTTTTGTTTAAATTTGTTGATTTCAATTGTGAATTTAGTTATTTGTCTAGAAAGTTTGCTTGTCTCTGTTTGGTCAATTTTGGCGGGAAAGTATGACTGTTCCGAATAATGTTGTAAAATAAAGTATGACACTTTTTGGCGGGTTGGCGTTGAGCTAAGTTAAGTGAATTCTCTGTTTTAATGTAATTGTTCTTTTTTTTTATTGCTGTTGAAAATAATTAAAATAATAGTAAATGTCTAATATATTTTATTATTTATTCACTTTATGTTTATTTCGTTACTTATTCATGAGATTTCAATAATTTAATAATAAATTCAACTGATCTTTTATATACCAAATCTGACACGTG